GAGTTAGCATAGCAGGTTAGTTGTGTGAGGGACATGCTTTTAGGAGGATGAGGCTGAAAGTCTTTGTTTACTTGAAAATATGGTAAGTAGACTGGAGCACCCTTATGGCAGCACTTGCTAAAAATGGTAATAGTGCTGCACAGTCTCCAGACTGGAGAAGGCTTGTGCTTTCCTCCCTTGTTGCTGAGCTCTAAGAACAGAAACAGCCACAAGCCAGGATTGGATCCCAGAGGAATGTAAGGCTGACTCTTGGCAAAGCGATTCACTTGCTCCCAGGAGCCCAAGCTAAACTTTATTTGCCGAAAGCAAGAAATCCATGCATATCCATTTGTAATTACACAGTCCTATCAGAGCAGGCGGATGGAGAAATTGTGCTCAGCAAGTTGGGGATTTATGCAGTTTTATCTATGTTGGCATTGTAATTTGATTATACTTGGAGCCACTGGAACAACCATTGACTCAACTGTTTTACTTTCATGGTAGATGAACTATACCGCTCCCCAATCACCTGCTTCTAATGATATTTTACAGATATGACATATACATATACCTAATTTATAATCATATTTACACTTGAAAATGTTTGGAAAATGGAATTAAAAATAGTTTATTTTGATGCAGAATTTTGAAATACATATATACAAGGGATCTTGAAAAAGTTCATGGAAAATACATGTTACAAAAACACCACACATGGATTTTAAAAATATCTGCACCAGAACACACTTTTTAGAACACATTTTTATTTCATTTATGAACCTTTTGAAGTACCATTGTGTGTATATATATATAGTCATATACGAAATTATTACATGTGAGTGTATCTCTAGCTATCAATCTAAGTTCTGAAACAAATACTTCAATGTCTACTCCAGCCTCCACAAAGGCAAGACCTCCTGAGCAGAAGCTGGCAGAGAGTCTGCTTAGACAACAGCCGTGCCATGAGTCATCTGTGTTTTCACAACATGCTTCTCCCCCGCATTCATGTCTATTTGTAGCCTGTGTGAACTATTTGTGTGCTGTCTGCCTTTAAAAAGCAAGGACACTGTTCTCTATAGACTCACTTAAGATGTGTGTGCTTTTGAGAATAACCCACTGCCACATTTATGAAGGCATGTGATGTGAGTGCAGATTATTCCATGCTTTGCCAATGCTTTCTTCTACTCTTGGTCCAGAGTTCAGAAAGGCAAATGAAGCCAGAGGAATTCACCCATAAATAAGGCCACCATGCACCACTACTGGTATCTCCCGGGGACATTGAAAAAGATTGCTTTCATCAACACCATAAACTGCAAAAACCATCAGAATTGGAGTTCTTATCTATTTTGGTCACATATCTACAGCCCCTGCACTTAAAATAGTGTCTGACACATAGGAGTCACTCCATAAGTATTTGCAAAGGAATGAAACAACCTCTGCTTCAGACCTGAGGAATGACCTGGGCTTTGGCACCAAATCCACAAAACATCGAACAATCTCAACGCCAAATCAAAAAGACTTCCATTGACAGAGCATCAGAATTTGCGGAAAGTACACAGTCATGAGATCCTCTTCAAATATTACACCACCTTACGCTACAGTCCTTAAAACAGACACAACTGTTTGTCAAGTTTCATTTCAGCAAATACATTATCAGCGATCATTAGTTCTCTCTCCCTCTTTCTCAGTGTTTCTGTCAATCACTGAGACTCCTGGAAGCACAAAACTGTAGTCCAGGAGGAGGACTTGGCCAGTATATTCCTTAGAGGAAAAAGGCATCAGAAGTGAGAGAAAAATATGTTCAGTATTTTCATTCACAGAAACCTTTAAAATGATGCAGGCACTGTTTCAGTGAAAATATCAATGGAGATAACAAAATCTATTAATAAAATACTCAAATTGTGTCTGGAAATATCTTCCTAGGTGGGTTACTTTGAATTAAGCCAAATGTCAGGAGGGACACCCAGCAAATGTTTCTCCTGAAGTTTTCAGATCCCAGAAAAAAAAAGCTAATTCCACCAGCAAGGCCTTCCCCATGTCGTGACACACCCCGAGGAGAAAAACACTCATGTATGCCAGACAACTGTATGCCAGACAACAGCCCTCTCCTATCTCAAGGACTCACTCGGACAGAAAGGAATCATCTAGGAGGGGTCAAATCCCTGTCACAGAACTTTCCCCTAGTCTCAGGTACAGAACTTTGAAGGTAAGTCTGATGAAGTTGAGAAAGAGTATCATTCAGTTCAAAAAATAATAAGCCAACATCACAGGAAATGCCACAATGTCCCTATGTCCCTATCTCAATAGAAAGAATGCCTATGAAAATAATGCCTGAGAGTTATCTGTACAAGAAAGTCTCTACACATTCTGACAGACATAAAATGGGCTTGCTCTTTCCACTCTCAGAATCACAGGGCGTGTGTTTTCTAACAGGTGGCTGCCGGGATCACCAACTTCAGGCTAGCCTCAGGTTGCTTTGCCACGGCTTTCTTCACTTCTTTTCTTAAATGATCTCTATTAGCTATCATTATGCTACCAGTTAAATGAAGAGTAACTGCCCAACTTGGACATGGCTCAGAGTTTATAAAATTGTAGTGCTGACATCATTGTTAAAATTGAACTTATTCAACCCTCTCTTATGAATGAAGGAAAAGGGGAAAAAACACTTTCTTCATATTCTTCACCCCTAACCTATCAATCTTGGTTTGACAACCTGTTCTGCAAGTCTCCTATTGGTAACACAGAGATACATGTTCTTTGGCCAGCATAATGTGTTTTTCAAATGTTAATCAGTTGAAATATTAAAAAATTTTTATATTTCACTAAGAATTTGAATTTTTAGGCTGTCCTTAAGAATAAAAAAAAGAATAAAGCAATAAGGGCTAGGCATTTGGTACAAAGGTCAGATATCACATGGGATGTCCACATTCTATATTAGAGTGTCTGGGTTAAGTCCTAGCTTGCCTCTCAATTCCAGCTTTCTCCTAACATGCACCTTGGAAGGCAGCAGCATTGGCTGTTGCAGTTATTTGGGGAGTGAACTACCAAACCCATCACACATATAGCAACAAAATGGTTGTTTCAAGCTTTCATGATTTGGAATGATATCCTAAACAGCAACAGGTAAGTGCTAAAAGACTAAAAGTGCACTTAAACTAAAACATAATTATTAAATAATTTCTTCATTTTAACTTGGGTCAATATAGATGTTATAGTCTCTGTCCTATTTTTGCACTTAGGCAGACATCTAGAACATGAATGTCCTCAGGAGGTAAATAGACGTGAAAGTAAAGCAACTCTTTGGAATCAGCTTGTGTTTTTTTTAAGAAATGAGCAGTAATGATGACTACTGGAGTTAACTATAGTTTGAAAAGGGCTCGAATCTGGTTTTCATAGGAATATCAGTTTTATTCAGTACTCTATATCATCCTGCACAGTGTCTGTTTTTTATTGACTGGATCCACTACAAATAGTTTGTACATATTTTTCTGGCTGATTAAACGAATCTAAAATATCTTTCCCACCACTCAAAACTTAGCTATTATTAATGCCAAAGTAAAGCAAACACCATCTGCAAAGTAATTTAAAAATTGGTCACAATTCATCATACAAAATAAGTCAAGCCAGACTTCCCTGCAGGTATAGCAAAGAGAACTCTTGGCTGGCCTCCATTAAAGTGAATTCCATCAATAGATATGCAAATCCAACACTGAGCAAATCACTGGGTTGTTAGATGACTTTATGAGAACATTTCGAAAAGTTCATGGAAAATGCAGTCAAAAAGTAAGTTTAATGGCCAGCATTGTGGTACAGTGGGTAAAGCCACTGCCTGCAATTTGGGCCACTGCTATGGGCGCCAGTTTCTATACCAGCTGCTCTACTTTTGATCCAGCTCCTTGCTGATGGCCTGAGAAAAGCAGAGGAAAAGGGCCCAATTGTTTGGGCCTCTACCACCCAGATGGAACTCCTGGCTCCTGGTTTCAGCCTGGCCCATCTCTGGCCATTGTGGCCATCTGGGGAGATGGAAGACCACTCTCTTTCTTTCTGTCTTTCACTCTTTTTCAAAATAAATAAATAAATCATTAAAAAAGATCATTTGGATGAAAAATATTTTGAAATTCTTGCATACAAGTGGGCCTTCAAAAAGTCTATGAGGGCCAGCATTGTGGCACAACAGGTCAAGCCACCATTTGTGACACTAACATCCCATATCTGAGTACCTGTTCAAATCCTGCCCACTCTGCTTCCAAACCAGCTTCCTGCTAATGTGCCTGGGAAGACAGAAGACGGCCCATTTATTGTGGTCCCTGCCACCTATGTAGGAGACCAGGATGAGGTTCCTGTCTCCTGACTTCAGCCTGGCCCAGCCTTGACAATGAGGTCATCTGGGGAATGAACTAGAGATGGAAGATCTTTCTCTCTCCCTCTCTCTCTCTCTCTTTCTCTTCTGTGTGTATATGTGTGTGTGTGTATAGCTCTGCCTTTCAAATAAATACACCTTTTTAAAAAATTGTGGAAAAATGTATATTATTAAAAATATACAGATTTCAAAATATTTTGCACCAAAATACTTATCTTTATAGTTCTATTTTGCATGAACTTTTTTAAGCACTCTCATATTTGCTCATGTGTAAGATTAAGCTAAGCACACACTGATGAAAAGAGTGTGGTCATCAAGTTTCACAGAACACAGCCTGTACATCCCAGGCAGTGGAAGATCTAAACCTTGTGCACTGCACAAAATTAAAGCAGCTGATATGCTTTTGCCCAAATAGAATTGTAGATCCTCATTTCCTTCCCTTCTTTTCCCCACTTGTGACTCAAGCCAGATTTCATCGAGCTATTTTTGTAATTACTAAAATGCTGGAATACAGCAGCAGGCCAGAAGCAAGCAAAATGCAGCATCCAGCAAAAGAAAGAAAATCACGCTGAGTAACTGAGAGGCCATCTGCTTCCAACTGAGCTGTAGGGGTGAGGAGGACAATCTGGGCTATTTGTGTCCTCCCCAAAACTATACCCACCTGCATGTTGTCAGTGGCATCCCCGAGCAAGCCTCCAAAAGTGATAGCGTTCGTTACAGTTGCCAGATAAATGAAGAGAATTGCTGAAAGGGACTGAATGTTTAAAGCATCATAAAAATCACTGGCAAAAAATGGCGCCTTCCTCTTTAGATCCTTAATGAGTCCACCACAGAACCTGGGCAGGGAAAGAGCAAACATGTGATGAAATATAACATAAATTACCACCAAATTAACAAGAGGTAACTCACTAAACCACCAAGAATTTGAATTTAACATGCTTGAGCCAATGACAACATAGTGCTGACCACTTAGGATGAAATCAGAGAAGTGCAGAGCAATAAAGTTTTTTTCTTCCTTTCTTTCTCTCTGCTACCAAATTAGCTGTCACATCTCCTGAAGACCAGGCATTTTGTCTTCAGATGAGAGTGAACTATGTAGATAAAGATTTTCTTTGCTTAAAATAAAATCCAATTGTGTGAGCCAAGGACATGCATAAGGCCCTTTAAAATCTCACCATCGTGTCCTTTCCCCCCTCATTCATTCCCATAAAAGTCTACAGAGCACCTGCAAGGCTGCTGGGGACACAAAGTGAACAAGCCCTGTCCTTGTGGAGCTTCCTTTTGAGAGGCCAGCAGCAAACAAGAAATGAGATCAGTACAGGAATTGCACACCACACTAACATTCAATCAGGGAGAAGGTCATGGAGAAGGGGGAATTTTTTTTTTAGTTCAATAAGACACAGATTTTTATTATCATACATAAAAATGGAGAGAGTAGCAGACTTCAATTATTACTATAATTGTGTAATATAATTTTATATTTTCATGATAATTTTATATTTTCATTATAGCAATTTAAAATGCCGGATTCTGTCCCGGTTGCTCCTCTTCCAGTCCAACTCGCTGCTGTGGCCCAGGAGTGCAGTGGAGGATGGCCCAAGTGCTTGGGCCCTGTACCCGCATGGGAGACCAGGAGGAAGCACCTAGCTCCTGGCTTCAGATCGGTGCAGTGCACCAGCTGTAGCGGCCACTTGGGGGGTGAACCAATGGAAAAAGGAAGACTATTCTCTCAGTCTCTCTCTCTCACTGTCCACTCTGCCTGTCAAAAAAAAAAAAAATTTTGCCACCTGCAGTGCCTGCATCCCTGGCTGTCCCGCTTCTGATCCAGCTCCCTGCCAATGTGCCTGGAAAGTAGCAGGAGATGTCCCAAGTGCTTGGGCCCGAGAAGGGGGGATTTTAGGCAGGGTAGCTGGAACAGACCTCAAGAACTTGTCTTTGGGATGAGGATCAGAAGGAGTTAAGGAAGGTAATCATGTGTGGTAGAAGGGACAAGCAGAGCCTCAAGGTAAGTATTAGCAGATGCCTGAGTCACACATCGATCTCTCTACCCTCCCAACCAAACGTCCCATCTTAGCCTTCCCCATGCTGTACTTCTGCCTTCAGTACCCTACTTCCAATGCTCAGCATCTCTCTGCAGTCTTGGTTTCACTCATCATGAATATTTCCACTCCAGGTCAGCCCACTTCATCAATGCCTCTATCTGGGCACCTGTTGGACCACTGCCCGGCTTCAGTTTTCTGGGTATGCACAGAGTTGTGCATGGCACTGAGAATGCTGTGGAAACTTGATACATTTTGGAAGATGAAATGTGGAAGAATGAAATTACAGCCTGATTAAATTTTTTAAAGTCCTAGAACTGATACCTGTAGAAAAGGAAAGCTATATTCCCAATGGAAATAGTTGGTTTAGGATACAGTGCTTAATGTTTTTGGTCAACAGTAGACCATGCACATGACTGTGGTCCACAGGACCAAAAACGGAGCTAAAAAATTCCTATTACCCCGTGACATCACAGTTGCTGCAGTGCACAGAGTAACACATTACTCTGTGATGATGCTGGTAAAAAATGCATAGTAATCAAATGTGTATAGTAGGTCACACTTGATAATGCTAATAAGTACTTATGGTGCTGGCATATGGATTCACTGTATCATACTTCATTCACCTTTCTATTTAGGAGGAAAATTTTACTGAAAACAGCCTCGTGCATCTTATGTCTCAAGACTACATCAAGAAGCTGCATGGAACGAATGACTCACTCCATCCAGGTTTGCATAAGGGCACCCATTCCATGATGACCACACAACGATAGAACTGCCTAACAAAAGAGATTTCAGAATGTGTCCCACTGCTCAGTGAGAAGAGGGGGAGGACAGGTTTTATGCTCCCTATCCTTTAAGAATAAAGCAGAGGCAAATCCTTTCCTCTTAGTTTAGGAGAGAAACCCAAGTGTGTTATAAGAAGGGAGTAACTTCATTCGATTCAGATTAAAATGACATCTTCTTTGTGTGCAAAAATCCTGTAGTATGTTTTTAAAATCCATATCATCCTAAAATAAAAATCCCCCATAACATTTTACTTAAGACAAAGTAAAATAGAGAACTTAATATTCAAAAAGGAAGGATTATCATAAGAAGCAAAAAAGGCTAGGGGACCAGCCTTATGGCTTTGTGGGTAAAGCTGCTGCCTGCACCACAAGCATCTCATATGGGGTCCAGTTCGTCTCCTGGCTGCTCCTCTTCTGATCCAGCTCCCTGTTAATGGGCTGGGAGAAGCAGCGGAAGATGGCCCAAGTGTTTGGGCCCCTGCTACCCATGCAGGAGACCTGGCGGGGGTTCCTGGATCCTGGCCATTGTGGCCATCTGGAGAATGAACCTGCAGATGGCAGATCTCTTTCTCTGTCTCTCCTCTCTCCCTGTAACTCTTTCAAATAAATAAATAAATAGCTCGTTTTTTTAAAAAAAAGCTGAAGAATCTGGGAACCCTGATTTCTTAAGTGCAGGTTAAGGAGACAGAACACCTGTGACACAGTGGTCTCTGGAACCAGTAACTTACTTTGAGGTTAAAGAACAGAAAGAGATGGACTCCTGAAAGGCAAGAGGGAGAGGACCACACGTTGCTCGGTCTTCCTGCCACACACTCGGTCCACTCACCCTGGCCTCAGTGCCAGGCGTGCCACACATCAAGCTGCCCGTGTCACTGTCCCCTGTTCCACCCGCACTTCAGGCTTCTTCAATGCTTCCCGCAAATGCTGCTATTCTGTCTGCAAGGCCTTCTCTGGCCACCTTTCTAGAACGTTAATGCCACTCTGCCCTGGCAGAAGTCCCTGGTTGGGTTTATTTTTTCTCATAAAACCATCTCCATGTTTGCATATTGGCTTCCTGGCTGCCTCCCATCTCCAGAGAGTAAGACCCACAGGGGCGGGGCCTTCTGTGGCATTTGCTGCAGTATCCCCAGCGCCTGGGACTAACAGGTGTGCTGCATATAGTACTCAGCTACGCAGATGAACAAACCAGGCTGACAGAAAGAGAGAGATTCAGCTCTGGGGAGAGCCTCATCAGGAACGGCCAAGGACCCTCCAGTTACCGTCCAGTTCGCTGCAGCTCCTCACAATCGGCGTGTCCTCCTCCTCCGTGTCCTCCGTCGTGGGGCGTGTCCCCATTCATCTGAACGTTCTCGCCACCTGAGTACATATTCTTTCTAAGCAAGACAACAGAGTCCAACACGGTATTAGTTCACGTGACTCATTTGCTTCTCGGCTGTGCCATGCACTGACTAATGGAGAGAAGGAAGGGGAACCCTTTGGGAGAAAGCTGATTTCTTTCTGCTGTCCTAACAGACAGACAATTCTTAAAGTGTTAGCTTGAGAACCAAGACAAACGACTGGCTAAACAGAAACACTGAATGAATTGTTTATCATATAACAGGGAAACTGTTTCACCTGGGAAATAACAGATTTTCAGGAAGTGCTTTTGCCTCAACTATCTCACCCAATTCCTTAACCTCTAAAGTCTACAGATTTGAGTAAACTGGCCATTCTGCATGACAGGGCGCTCCCACAGGATCTCTGTGACACATTCCCATATGGTAATTGAGCTCTAACCTGTAATCACTGAAAAACAACACAACATATAGCGTTTATAGTGCCAAGGAAAGGTGAAACCAAAGCACATAGGTGATTCGTCTCATGTAATAGATTCTGTTCAATAGGAATCTGACAATATTAAGAGAGTAGCCTGGCTCTGCTTTCTTTTCCAAACCCAACCTCCTTTCCCAGGGTATCCCAGCAACTGAAAATTCCCAACCAGCTTACCTTTTGTCAGAGGATGGAAGACTTTTCGGAGGTTCTATCCTGATGGCCGGGTCCCACTCGCCAGGTGGAAGGACAATGACCTCATCCAGGAACTCATCAATGCCAGCAATCAAGTCATGCCTGTCTTTTGCTTTATAAGCAATGTCATGGAACACCTGAAGAGGGGGGGAAGAAGTGCTGATCCGCCAAGAGAATTTTCTGCACGCCTCACACCAAGCCGAGCCTGAACGACACGCTGCGGTATTGCTATAACCATGCTCTCATATTTCCTATTATTCAGATTATTCTAAAACATTTAGGTATTCAGATTATGATCTCACAAAATACAGGTAGAGGGATGAGAAAACGTCTGTCTTCTTTTTGGTGACCACCATCACCCCCACCCCATCAACTCTGTAAGACAACTTTGCCCTTCAGCTCCTGTGGGCATAGGCTCCTACAGATACAGTTGCCATGGAAGCCACGTGAAAATGGTTTGGAGAAATACAGTGAAGAGTCATTCTTTGAAGTAAAAACTACTGGGACAAACAATCACTGATCATTCAAGAAGGAAAAGTTCAAGCTGAGTGTTAACATCAGGTTAAGACCCAAACAGTGCAGTTCTCTTAACATACAAATAAAATAACGTAAGCTACTAAAAAAAGAAAAATCTGATCCTGGCAGCACGTAGAGCAAGGGGATTTAAATAAGTGCTCATCTGCCTATTTTTTAGGTAGGAAATGACTAAGCCATCCAAGGAAGCAAAAGTTTCATGTCTTTTTTATAGGACATCCCAAGAAGGGGCTTTCAGGACACAATCCTTTTTGTCAGTCATTCCATTCTTCTAACCAAGCTGATGTTGTGGAAGATTTTTACACATAACCCAAGTCTTTCATACTTCCTCAGTCAAGTTCTTTCATTCACAGAAGGAAAGATGGTCACTGGGACTGGCGTCGTGGTGCAGTGGGTTAAGCCACCATCTGCAACACCAGCAGCCCATATAGGTACCAGTTCAAGTCCTGGCTGTTCTACTTTTGATTCGGCTCCCTGCTAATGCACCTGGGAAAGCAGCAGAGGATGGCCCAAGTGCTTGGGCCCCTGCATCCATGTGGGAGACCTGGAAGAAGTTCCTGGCTCCTGGCTTTGGCCTGGCCCAGGGCCAGTCATTGCAGCCATTTGGGGAGTGAACCAGCAGATGGAAGATCTCTCTGTGTGTGTCTCTCCCTATCTCTCTGTGTACCCCTACCTTTCAAATAAATAAAATAAATTTTAAAAGAATATGGGGGCCGGTGCCGCGGCTCACTAGGCTAATCCTCCGCCTGCGGCCCCGGCACACCGGGTTCTAGTCCCAGTCGGGGCGCTGGATTCTGTCCTGGTTGCCCCTCTTCCAGGCCAGCTCTCTGCTGTGGCCAGGGAGTGCAGTGGAGGATGGCCCAAGTACTGGGGCCCTGCACCCCATGGGAGACCAGGATAAGTACCTGGCTCCTAACATCAGATCAACGCGGTGCGCCGGCCGCAGCGCACCAGCCTTGGCGGCCATTGGAGGGTGAACCAAGGGCAAAGGAAGACCTTTCTGTCTGTCTCTCTCTCTCTCTCTCACTGTCCACTCTGCCTGTCAAAAAAAAAAAAAAAAGAATATGGGGACCAGCACTGTGGCATAGTGGGTAAAGCTGCTGTCTGTAGTGCTGGCATCCCATATGGGTGCCAGTCTGAGTCCTGGCTGCTCCACTTCTGATCCAGCTCTCTGTTGTGGCCTGGGAAAGCAGTAGAAGATGGCCAGAGTCCTTGGGCCCCTGCACCCACTTGGGAGACCCAGAAGAATCTCCTGGCTCCTGGCTTCGAATCAGTGCAGCTCCAGCTGTTGCGGTCAATTGGGGAGTGAACAAGCAGATGGAAAACTTCTCTATCTCTGCCTCTCTTTCTCTCTGTGTGTAACTCTAACTTTCAAATAAATAAATAAATCTTAAAAAAAAATAATATGGCCACTGTTCAACACTCTTTACTATCTGTAAAGACTGCTACTCTATCTCTCTCCAGGAAAATAATTTTTAAAAGCTACCCATCCAATAGCATTTCATGGTCTAGGGGTTGTGATCTTGAAGGAAAGGTGATACAAAGTGCCAGCACAACCCCTGTGGCAGACACAACCATCCTTCACCTTACTGCCTCTTGCTACCTCCCACTAGAGAGGCTGCAAAGTCAGAAATTCATTTTCCCAGCCAGTCCTGAAGATAAAGATCGACAGTGCTAACTAATTCAATGTAAGAAAAAGGCTGTCTGAGACAGCTTTCAAACACCTGTTAAAAAAGACCGATACAGCTGATGTTATCCACCCCTTCTTCCTATCTTAAACACAGATAACTGGAGCTGACTTTAGGCAAAGTTGTTGTACAGTATTGACAGAAATATGTGTCATGGCAGAAAAAAAAAATGTCATGGCAAGACCATGAAGCAAGAGCTTTCGCTCTTGATTTATCACTAAGCAGTTAAGTCAACCCCAGCAAATGCCTACTTCCAAGTTTTCTATTCTAGGAGAAAAAAATGAACCCCACACTGTTTAAGCCACTTTATCACTGCTGTCTTAAGCCTTTCTAATTAATATATCTTAAAAGGAAGTATCAGGCCGGCGCCGAGGCTCACTTGGCTAATCCTCCACCTGTGGTGCCAGCACTCCAGGTTCTAGTCCCGGCTGGGGAGCCGGATTCTGTCCCAGTTGCTCCTCTCTGCTGTGTTGCTCTCTGCTGTGGCTGGGGAATGCAGTGGAGGATGGCCCAAGTGCTTGGGTCTTGCACCTGCATGGGAGACCAGGAGGAAGCACCTGGCTCCTGGCTTCTGATCGGCGCAGCGCACCGGCCGTAGCGGCCATTTTGGGGGTGAACCAACGGAAAAAGGAAGACCTTTCTCTCTCTCTCTCTCTCTCACTAACTCTACCTGTCCAAAAAAAAAAAAAAAAAAAAAGGAAGTATCTTTTAAAATTAAGAAAGAAGTATTTTTGACTATAATGTAAATTTAAAATGCTACCTTAAAAACTAAGAGAGATGGAGTATTATATTCTTAAAATTGTACCTATGAACTACATTGGATCTGTTCTTTTTGCATTAATAGCATATTACCATAAAAAAAAAAGAAAAGAACCAACTGTGATGAGAGAAATAAATGTTCTCTCAAGGGGGGAAAACACCAGCAGAGCTTTGCATCATTGCTCTCAGTCCCAGAATAAAGGAACCACCTGAGTAATTGCCACATAGAACTTCCATCATGAAGGATACAAGTGCCCACATTCTCCACTTAACACGTGCAAAACTGGAAAGTCAAGCAATGGAGCAAAAGCAAAACATTTGGGAAAACGGCAAACTGGAAAGACGCAGACGCAGAACGTAGGGACGCTGTGTCCTATTTCTCCTACTCTGAGACTGGTTCAGAGTTTCATCACATCTAAAACACACCTAGCTGTGAGGACAGTAAGTGAGGCCATAACTCCAAATTTGAAGTACTTTGTGGTAATGGTTACTAATGCATTCCAGATGTGCAACTCCTTCCCACAAAACAAGGAAAGCAGGGTGAGCCTCGGCACAGTGACTGAGATACCACTTTGGGATCCACTTTCTGCATCAGAGTGCCTGGGATTGAGTCCCACCTCTGCTTCTGAGTCCAGCTTCCTGCTAATGCATTCTGGGAGACAAAGGTTATGTCTCAACTACTTGGGTCCCTATCACCTGCATGAGAGATTTGAACTGGGTTCCAGGATCCTGGCTTCAGCCTAGCACAGCTCTGGCTATTGTGGACATTTGGGTAGTGAATCAGAGAATGAAAAAATCTCTTTCTTACCATCTCTCTGCCTTTCAAATAAATTTAAAAAAAAACTTTAAAACCACATATTTCTGATATCTAAGAAAAATGCATTATCTGTATTTTATGCATTTTACAGAACTCACTGTTTCTGAAATGGTATAGTTTATAGACATTTGAATTTCCAGAGTTAATGTTTTACACATTTTCAGAAATAAAGTTGAAGTTAGTACTAAAATGTTGAAACTTTCTAAAGAATAATTAACATACATCAATTATGATAATTATGAATATGTAATAATCACATCAAGGAAAACTGGGCTATCATCTCATACACTGACCAGTTCTACATATTGGGAACTGTCAAAACCCTTGTCACAGGCTTTCTGAAATATATAATTACATATATATATAATTAATTGCTGTCAAACCTGTGTTTGCTTTCAAATATTATACAGTATATGTAAATACTGACATATCACACTGTACCCATAAATATGTATAATACTATGTCAATTAATTTTTGAAACATTTTAAAAGAATTAAAAATTAAAAAAAGAAAGGATAATGTGTTTTATTCCAACACAGAGTTTACAACCCCAGAAAAAAATAAAATGCAGGCCTTACTTTTAAAACGGTACCACATGGGAGGTACCAGCACGTTATGCAGAAACCTGCTAATCACACTATGCCAATGCAATAAAGGGTGACAGCCAACTCACAGTGTGAAACCAACACAAGTAGGACAGTCACAGAACCCCCCCCCCCCTTCCTGATTCCCTACCTCGTCAGACATCAAGGTAGCAATGGCTCTGCCAATCTCATGGTAAGACTTGGCTTTCCCCTTCGGACCTAAGAGGATGAATAAGAACCTAGTGGAAAAGAAAAGAAGAAACGCTATTAAACACAATTTGTCACACTCGATATATACAAAACTGAGAGACATGCATTTTCATTCATAAAAAGCTAGGAGCTGAATTAACCTTTAAAACATTACCTTTGAAATAAGTAATATTTGTGGTAAGAGGCAAGATGTTCTTTCACTCTATTGCAGAATACAAATCTTTTTATCAGTGTATCTGACAGCAAACACTCCTTCACCAAGCACGAAAGGTTTACTTTATACACTTGATAAATCATTGGATCTTTCTGTTTCAAATTTTCTTTTCTCTCCATTTCTACTGACTTTCAGAATCTCCAAGGCAAATCCAATAAGCACAATAACTACAAAGACTTAGCCCATCTTTAGATTTCTCTTACTTTCCTTACCTACTTCTAGCAGTGACAAATGATCTTCCCAACACTTTTAGGAGATGTTTCTACTCAGAAGTGATTGGGAGTCAGCCAAAACCAAACCCTCTACAAGTAAGCCACATGCTGACAGCCACACTGAGGACAGAGAAATTAGAAATAAAGCATCACTCAGTGATCACTGAAATTCTTTGGTGGGTTTCTTCATTTCCTTTTCCATACTCGTTTTCTTACTAGAGCACAAAGCATGGCCCATTAGCAACCATCCTGAAACCTGCAGTAACTTACCCTCACTTAGGGTTACCTCTGATCATACTGACCACATGGGCAAACACTGGGGAAAAAGGAACCTGACAGGTAAGTCGTAAGAAAAAATACATAAAAAGTAACACTGGAGAAGTCTCCCCCCTTGATATTGATTATGTCTCCCCTAACATGCACAAATATGCACAGGGTTTCTTTTTTTAAAGCCTGCAAAGCATTTCACGTTGGCCACTTCATTCAAATTTCCATACAACCATTTGCAGTAAGGACAGGTCTACTATTTCCACTTAATGGAAAGGAAATTGAGGCTGAAGGATGTTAGTGGATGAGCCCAAGGGATGTGCTTAGTCAATGAAACAAAGCAGACTGATAAGCCTTTTCCCCCTTTTCTTTTCAGCACACATTTCTGCCTAGTATTATCTGCTTAACTGATTCAACAGAGAAAAACTGTGCAACTTCCATGAGTCACTCTACCAAAGAAGCTTGTGGGTAACTGAATGAGGCTAGATTTTATGGCACCAGGAATGGTTATCACTTCACTTAGCAAAATTTTATTGCTCACTTATTTACTTATATACTTCACTTTAAACAAAAAAAGGATTGACAGCAAGGGTTTTATGAAATGTTAGAGTCTGTTCCAAAAATGCCCTTGAATGCCAAGATTACTTTTTTCCCCTATAAAACTCAATCCGAAGGGGCTAAGGGGGCGGGGGGGTGGGGGGTCAAGAACTTAAGAAGTACGTAAAAGTTTGGATACTCGGATTTTATACCAGAATAACCATAAAACCAGCCACTACTTATTTGCTTAGAAAGCAGCCCTGGCACAGAGCTGCACACTCTCTTTCAAAAGTTATCACAGTAGAGGAAATCGCAGAAGCAATCAACAGGCACAAAGTCTGCTCAGCTATGAAGGAAATCATTATCAGAACCGGATTTCAGTTTCTCCAACACTGAAGTCCAGCTGGGACCACAACATTCCCTCCTTGAAGCTGACCACTTCATATATAACTGTATACCACTATCTACAGTATTACAAAGTGCTCCTGTGTGCCAGTAAAGTTTGCTTTTCCAGAGACTGATCACTGATGTAAGTGTATCCCATGCAAAAATATTTAACCACCAGGCAAAACACAAACCCTGTTAAGAAACACGTTGGCCTCATTTCCTAATTCCATTTGCCCATCTAAGAAGGCCAGTCATCCAGCAAGATAGTAAGGGCACACTTTTAAGCAAAAAGGGGCAGAGGCCATGCCACCACAGAAACTACTTAATGCCTGCTTCCTTTCACTTAGTGTGTTTTTTAAATAATGGATTTCTTTGACCTGCCATTTGTTATTATTTTAGTGTCTCTAAATATTAACTTTTTAGTAATGTACATTATCTAAAACCTTTCCAGAATCACTGAGAACCTCTTCCTGCCTCCCCTGAAGAACCTCCATCATGATTCCAGCTTACAAATACACATTACGGAAATGTATCTGTCAACTGACATCTAACTTCGTCATCAGATTGGCTGTAACAGCAAAAAGGCCAAAATACTGTCTTGTAGCTGAGAAAAACACTCTGTCACCAACAGTCCTCCAGTGAAAACTTTGGCAGATCATGGCTAACTGTTTGAAGCACAGAGAGAGTATTAGAGCCTCCAAGGTGAATACTGTGCAATGAGGGATACATTTTCTGTAAAAGGGTTATTCTTTGCTGTTTGCTCGATAGTACCAAAGGAAGAATCGAAGCAGTAGATCAAAGGTGTCTAACACATACACTACAGTAATAAACCCAGGTTATGAGAACAATACCACAGCCTAAATATGGAGATAGTATTCCTCTTTCCTAGTAAATGTAATTTCTCATGTTTTTAAAAATGATATTTTCCATAAATGGAATATCACCAAGTGCTGAACAGAAACAATATGGTCACACAGTAGTTAAAATTTTCACATCATCCCAGTCAGAGTTCAGTAAATCCATGTCCTTAAAATGACAGACAGAGGGATCTGAGTATCCACAAACAGTGGGAAGTATCACTTCAAGTCAACAATTTCCTCTGTAGGAACTTAGGTCCTAAGAAATGTCTAATCTGGACTGCATTTTTGAAACAGGGATGAGAAATCTGAGCAAACTAACAGAACAACCCCATATGTTGAAGCTCACTCTGCCTGAAATACATCCTCTCCCCCTTTAACCCCCAAAACGGAAAAAAAAAAAAAAAAGTTGCAACTTTCAAGATTGAAGTGTATTCTGCCAAACTCAGTCTTTACAACATACGGAATACTCTTTTCATGATCCAAGCTGGTTTTTGTCAATGGACAGATGTTATTTTTAACCAGAAGCGTTTTGCTTTATTAACGAATTAGAGTAAACATCACATTTGTGTGGCTGGGAGGGCCTGGCCCATGTTGAAAGCTCAGGAAAAAAAAAAGTGAATTTATGTTACTGAGTTCTTTCTATGAGTTCATAACTAGAATAAGCCAGAGTTCGTGTTTTTAATAGTGCTACTTGTCTCAAGAGTCTTCAGGTGCTCATTTGCTACTTCGGTGAGCTTTTCCGTGTAACTCACTTTGCCCGAGGAGGATGCCTTGAGCATTCTCCACGAAGGGAAGTGCCAGAGGATCTGTGTCCGGAACCAATGGCCTGTACTCACATTCACAAAATAATTATAGGCAGAAACAGAGCCTAATATCACAGAAGGAGCCAGCCTTCCGAAACCACTCAATCTTCTTAGAAAGGCTGTGTACCCCCTCCTTCCTGATACATCACAGCTATTTCTAGAACAAACTCAGCATGGACCAATCCTTTAGTCCCTTCTCAAAACAGTGAATCAAATAGCCCATTATTCATATTTGGCAGCTTTGGAAAATGTGGCTAAACTGTAGCTTTCACAATAGACTCACAAGGACCACAGATTACCATAACTAACCACATTATATGCCATGAAGAGCAGCTAGCAATCAGCTTTGTGGACAGACAGAACTGAATTAGTAGGATCCCCATCACAATCCTTTTAACAGCTTTTTAAGATAGTTTTAACAAGTAAGTACAAGTGGCTTCTTCTAGGCAAGTCAATATGGATAATGTAAGAAACGTATTAACTTACAGTGACACCAGAAAGGTAAACATTCCAGCACTGTAGAGGGCTGCAGCTTAGAGAATAATCAATCATGTGCCTAAGATTGGCAAATCAAGATCAGAAAAGGACAGATGCTTCTACAGCCTTTATTAGTCCTCATGGGAGAACTCTAAGACACTCCTTTCAAGTTTTCTCCTTTGCTTGGGCTCTTCTGAAAATCTGACCTGAGTCAGAAGTCCACAGTTCTATTTCCAACATGCATAGTCAATATTTCCATTGCCTCCATCCCTCAACTGATAATATAATATTCAAATATATAATATAAATTTATATATATATATATATATCTTACCATATCATCAAAATTCAAACAACTGTTTGTTTGCTTTCACATGAATGGCAAGAAGGGCCCCTAAGTATACAGATGTCCACCCAGCTGGCAGTCCTCCAGTCACACGTGGAGGCTAAGACAGCCACCAAGTAACAGTGTGGATAGAAATATGGAGACTTGGCCGGCGCCGTGGCTCAATAGACTAATCCTCTGCCTTGCGGCGCCGGCACCCCGGGTTCTAGTCCCGGTCGGGGCGCCGGATTCTGTCCCGGTTGCCCCTCTTCCAGGCCAGCTCTCTGCTATGGCCCGGGAGTGCAGTGGAGGATGGCCCAAGTCCTTCGGCCCTGCACCCACATGGGAGACCAGGAGAAGTACCTGGCTCCTGGCTTCGGATCAGCGTGGTGTGCCGGCTGTGGCACGCCAGCCGCGATGGCCATTGGAGGGTGAACCAACGGCAAAGGAAGACCTTTCTCTCTCTCTCACACACTATCCACTCTGCCTGTCAAAAAAAAAAAAAAAATTTAAAAAAAAAAAAAAAAAGAAATGTGGAGACTCTACATATGAAGGGGAGGTGATACAATCAGGTTCCCTAAAAGGTATTGAACAGTAATAATGTTTATCAGAATAATGGCAGTAATAATAACAACACAACTTCCTTCCACATTAAAAAGCAAAAATGACTATCAAAAGATGTGCACAAAAACAGACATTCCTGGTCTCCCTGCAGTACAACAGAGCAGCAGGCACATCATGGCCCTTGGTGGGATGCAGGCACAGTCCCTCTCCAATGACTAAAGCATTCCTTGTGGGATTTCCTTTATTTGATTTCACAGGATGCAGCCATTGTAAATGGCCCCACATTATGCACCACCGAAAGATGCTAATGAGACTCCCTACTCCGTGATTACAATTTGCACTGGTTGGGAGGGTAACAAATGGATAAACTACTTCCTGGAAAAATGTTAACATGTGAGGATATATTGCTCAGATTATTGCCCTGAAATAGTTTTATGATATTACTGAATTACAGTCCCTTGAATGCCTTGACTCCTCTTGTTAATGCAAATGAAGCTGTATTTCACCTCTAGACCACTTCAACCCTCCAAGATAGAATAAAAAGAGAAGAAGCAGGACGGGAGCAGATGATAAGAGGGATACAAAAATGAACATGATTTGCTACTCAATACATGCATGTTATGGTTAAATAAAAAGCTTTTGAAAGTATTTTTTTATTTGTAGCTTGTAAAGAAAAATGGTAATAAAAATGAGAAGGCAGGAGCAATTTTCTTTAACACCACTTGGCATGTTTTATTCTTTCAAGCCCGGTACAGTTCGTCCAAAGAGACATAAATAAAGCCATAGGGGCACTGAGCTGGCCTTCAGCCATTATCTGAGTCAGCTCTTTGCCAGGTGATTGCTCTGAGAGAACCGCAAGGCTCTGCTGGAATGCTTTCAAGCAAAAAGCTAAGATACAAAAAACACAAATCATGATAACCCCATTAACTGAATAAACCGTGATCATCTCTTTCCACTGCTATTTGTCCAATGACTGGCCTACAGATGATATTTTAAGTGTCTAAGGAATATAAGAATAAGTTTAAAAATACCCAAATAACAAGGAGCAGTGGCCTATAAGCTATGAATTGAGAGGTCTTAGAACATTTTCTAATATTCCTCCTAAACTGGCTCAAAGCAAACCTTAAGCCTCTTCACACTGCTGGTCAATGATGCTCAGACCTGAGAACAATGGGTAAGACTCATAGCCCTTCTGCTCATGTAGGAAAACCTATAGAAAAGAAACAGTCACCTGCCCTTGTCCCCTGAGACCACAGAAAATACCCAAACAGAAGGTCCTTTCATACAATCATTTTCAGACGTCAGTCTGAAGAGCACAAGTTTCTCTCTGAACCCTTCTTCAGCACAAGTACTAAATGCTCTCCCTAAGTCAAGCTTCCTGACTCTGCTGAGCTTAGCTTCCAAGGGACAGATGAAGATGACTTCTAACCTGCAGTGCTGTGGACTGAGCACACAACTGTGAGAAAACTAAAAATTTATGTAACACGACACATTAACTGTGAAGTGTACAAAATGAAGTGTCCAGCCTGATGATTTTTACATAAATGTGCTTATAGATGGATGGATGGACGTAGAAACCACTGGGGACTTTCTGATAAACACAGAACACAGTGAAACCATTCATGATCCCTGAACCTTGGGCAATTAACTTAAACTCTTAGACTCAGTTTCCTAATCTATAAAACCTGGGCACATAGTTTGTACTTTAGAAGATTATTGTAAGGAGTAAAGAGAATAGCCCATGAAAATAAACTGATACATTGCCCAAAAAGTATTATAATTGCTATTGTTATTACTATAAAAGTGCCAAGTAATATTTTCATCTTTTTAAACATTTTTGTTAAAATAAAGAGAACAGATTTCATGTTCATAGGTACAATCCTAAAAACATCAATATTCCCTTCCTTCATTCTTCTCCCTCCCTTCCTACCTCCCTCTCTCCCTCTCTCTCTTCCTTTCTTCTTTCCCTCTTTCTCTTCTGACTTTTGTGAGAACATATTTTTAATTTACTTTATAGTCACAGGCTTAATGCTCCACTAAATAAGGAGTCCAATAAGTAAAAACTAGAAAGATACTGTTCAGCAGGAAACTAGACTAGGGCTATAAACAATAATCAAATCCCAACATATCAATTTCACTCATGAGTACCAACTAATTTCATAGCATAAAAGTCATACTTTGTCATTTTTCCAATTCAATCTCGATTGTACTTGCACTGGATGTATCCTCAATTCTATCAATCTCCATTCTGAGAGGCAGGGATTTCCCTACAAGCACACTGTAGACCCAGCAGGTCTGAGAGTCGCTTACCTTGTGGGCACAGGCACCTCAGTCAGGGCACCCAGCATGACAGCCTGCTGTAGCCGAACAAAGGCAATGAAAGGAGTATCCAAGAAGTCAACCTCCCCAACAAGCACGTTGGAAGCTTCTGCATCACGTGGCAGTTTTTTCATGAACTTATTTTTCAGCTGCATGGGAAGAGCCAAGAAAACACAACTTACTTCCAGAGAGCTGAACAAGAGGAGACACCCATGTGTCTATCGCTCAGGGGAAATTTCTTTATAGGAGTATATACACAACAGGCCCTAGCTAACCACTTTTACGTTTAACCATTCTATTATAACAAACATTTATATATACCTTGGATTAAAAAATATTGAAGGTAGGGGCCGGCGCTGTGGCGCAGCGGGTTAACGCCCTGGCCTGAAGTGTCGGCATCCCGTATGGGCGCCAGTTCGAGACCTGGCTGCTCTCTTCCGATCCAGCTCTCTGCTATGGCCTGGGAAAGCAGTAGAAGATGGCTCAAGTCCTTGGGCCCCTGCACCCGCATGGGAGTCCCAGAAGAAGCTCCTGGCTCCTGGCTTCAGTTCAGCACAGCTCCGGCCATTGTGGTCAATTGGGGAGTGAAATATCAGATGGAAGACCTCTCTTTCTCTCTCTCTGCCTCTCCTCTCTCTGTGTAACTCTGACTTTCAAACAAATAATCTCATGATTTACATATAAAACAATGTATAGTACAACTCCATTCACTCAGTGGAAACTTGAGAGTTTGCTATAAGCCAAACAATGATCTAAGTCCTAGGACACAGAGATTACATGTCCTCCCTAGGTCATATTCCTGCAGAGGAGACATAAAGCAGGACTTAAAGTAGTGACAAATACTAAGGAAAAATAATACAGGTAAGGGTACTGTTTCAGGCAGGGTAGTTGGGGAAAGCCTCTGGAAAAAAAAAAAAAAAACACACTCAACATTGGAGTAAGGGTACAAGTCATGCAAAGATCCAAGCAGAGAAAAACTCTAGGCAATGAGAATGGCAAATCCAAAGCCTAAAGACAGGAAGAGCTTGGCATTTAGAACGGTAAGAAGTGCTGAGGTTGGTGTTGTGGCACAGGCTTATGCCACTGCTTACAACAACAGCATCCCAGTTAGAGTCCTGGCTATTCTGTGTCCCATCAGCTTCCTGCTAATGCCCCTGGGAAGGCAGCAGAAGATGGGCCCAAGCTGCCCATGGAGGAGACCAGGATGGAGTTCCTGGCTCCTGTGGACATTTTTTAAAAGGTTATTTTATTTATTTGAAAGAGTTACAGAGAAAGGGAGAGGGAGAGGGGGAGGGGGAGGGGGAGAAGCTGAGGTCATCTGAAGCCAGGAGCCAGGAACTTCTTCCAGGTCTCCCATGTGGGTGTGGGATCCAAGGACTTTGGGTATCCTCCACTGCTGCTTTCCCAGGTGCATTAGCAGGGAACTGGGTCAGAAGTGGAGCAGCCAGGACTTGAACAGGCACCCATGTGGGATGCCGGCACTGCAGACCAGTGATTTAACCCACTATGCCACAGCACCAGCCCCTAGTGTGGCCATCTGGGGAGTGAACTAGTAGTTGGAAGGTTGGTATCTCTCTCTCTCTCCCTCTCTCTCTCCCTCTCCCTCTCTCTCCTTCCCTTCCTCCCTCCCTCCATCACTCTGCCTTTCAGATAAATAAATAAATCTTTTAAAAAGGAAAAGAAATCAACTGCAGTGGGAGTTGAAGCATCAAAGGACAGGAAGTAGCAGCAAATGAAGTTGCACAGGGAAGGGAGTACCAGGACACAAGGTTTTGAGGTTATAATAATTTTGGAAATTATTTTGTTTTGCTTTGTTTGAAAGACAGAGAGAATAGAGGGAAGGGAAGGAAGAAGAGGAGCTCTTCCTTCTACTGGTTCATTCTCCAAATGGCTGTAACAGCCAGGGCTGGGCCAAGTTGAAACTAGGAACCCAGCACTCAATCCAGTTCTGCCATGTGGGTAACTGGGACACAGCACTTGAGCCATCATCTGCTATCTCCCAGGGTGTGCATTAGCAGGAAGCTGGGGTCAGAAGCAGAGCTGGGACTTGAAGCAGGTACTCTGAAATGGGAGGTGGGCATGCCAAGCAGCATCCCAACTGCTGTGCCTGATGACCACCCTTGACTGGTGAAATGTTTAAGTGGGAGTTGCCCACCAAAGTCCAGGTGGAAAGGTGGGAAACATGAAACACTATGACATTACCTGGGTGGCGTGTAGATAAAGAAGAGGAGTAAGACTGACACTCTGGGCCACTTTACCTTTTACAGGAAAAGGAGGAGAAATCAGCAGAGAACACTGAAGAAGAGCAGTGATGAAAAGGAAAAAAACACAAGACTTCACTGATAGTCAGATGAAGAAAGTACTCAATAAGAAAAGTATATTGGCGGAGCCCTAGGCTGCTGAAAGTTCCAATCAGATGAGAACAAGTGAATAAACTTGGCAAGATGGAAATGCTGGGGATCTCAACACGAGCTGCTGCAGTGGAAACCAGGGTACCCAGCAAAGAAAGAATGGTGAGGAAGTGGACACTATCTCAAGATAATTATTTTGAGAAACACTGATACCAAGGAAAGCCAAGAAATGAGGATGCTGGTGGATGAGGGCATAAAATAGGGAATTGTTACAAATGGGAGATGTTACAGTGTGAATGAGAATGATCTACAGGACACAGATTAATGCTGCAAGAGAGAGAGGGGGTAACTGCAAAAGCAGCTCAAGCAACCCTAAACCATTAAAAAGCAACATCTACATCACAGATGGAGGAGTTCACTTTACTTGGAAACACAGAGTTTACCTCCCCTGCCCAGGCAAGGCAGACTATGTGGGTACAAAAATGGGTGATTTGCGAGATCTGTCAGCCAGGTGGGGGACAATGAGGGCTTCTGAGGACTTATATTTTTGCAGTGAAATACAAGTGAGCTGATGGTGAGGAGGAGGGTGGCATGCGGGGGATTGAGAAGAGAAGAGAAGAGGTGTAAAGTGGTTTTCCTGGAGAGTGAAGGTTGCTTAATACACTTTGAAAGTTTATCTCCTAGGCCCTATTCTTTCCTACAACTCAAGGAAAGTATTTGAATAATCATGGGAAGATGAAGATAAGAATTCTGCAAGACCACAGAAAACACACAGACTTCTCATACATGCTTAGTATCCAACATAAATGTCCCTCTCTTCAACTCAAAAGTGGCAGTGAACTTAATATTCTCTGTCATGGATGGTTGCTGGAATGGGAAGTGGCAGGCATGACCCAGTTTTCCCTGTTAATAAAAAGGTTACACCAACATTTTGTTTTCAACTTCCACTTAAGAGTTCTCAGTTAGGAAAAGAAGGGACATGGGAACTAATTCCTATAGCTCCAACACCATCAGCAGCATAAGATTTTTTTCCCTTTAATTTTGCACTTTTAGAAAGCTATGGGGCAAACACAAGGAACTTACAACTAAGAATTTAGTGGAAGCCAAAAGGAAGCAAAGGCAACATGTATATTCTTACAGGGTAGGAATCTAACCTCTTTGAAGCAGTAAAGAATTTTCCAAAGTTTCTACAACTAATTTCTCCAAGAAATGCTAATATTTTCAAATTCTTTTTATATCTTACAGATATGAAAAAATCAGCCATGGGAAAGGTTTATAAACATCAAGTTTCCACAACTGTTACTGTCAGCTAAGGAAGCTGCAGGAACAAACGGTTCTCTACAACTCAGAGTAGATGGCAGGTATGGCCAAGTGCCCAGGCCTATGCACAGCAACACTGCTAGAATGATCTTCCTCAAACTCCTTCCAGAAAGAGTTCTCGTTACCAAAACAGAGCACAAAGCTCAATCATCATCTGAGTTTACTTCCCATTCTCTTTAGCAGACTTTTTGCTCCAGTCAGGCAAATATAATCCCCTTCTGTTTTATGTACTTCTGACCATAATCCCCTTCTGTTTTAGTACTTAGCCTCCCACACTCATTATCAAAAAAGTATCCTTTCCTCATTTATACCTTTTCTAAACATCCCTCAGAGCTCAGGGCAAGACTTCCTTCCATCTCAGCCCACTTCCCAGGCAACTTCAGAAGCACTCACTGATGAGTCACACTCTTGTCAAGGTGTAAATATTTTCCCATGAGTAACACGAGTGTAAGAGCAGTTTATTCCACATTGTGCTGAACCACTGCTTCTTACACAGTTCATCTGTAATAAATATTATGAACAGAAGCAACAGGCTCTGGAGCACTCAAAATTCAACCAAAAGACCATCAAACATCCCTCAAAAGCTCAATCTAGGCACTACTAATTCAATCTGGATCTGCCGTAACAACTAACTTACAAAGCACTCAGGGTATTGCAGAGTTGATATGCACTTCCACAGCATAGCTCATTTGTATCATGGTACCTTTATGAAGATTACTGTGCCCATACTAGAGAACTAAAAGTACATTTTAAGGACAAAATCAACTGTGCTCTCCATGCTTCAAAGGGAGACAGCTGTGAAGGCAGGTTCCTTTAGACATCTCAGTCTGTCTTTGTGGAATACTAGTGTCTAAAAGAGAAATTAATAGTTACTCTAAAGTAAGGTGTGGTGCTGGAGGTACCCCCGGAGCTCAGTACTTGGATGGCTCCTTTTGTCTACATGCACTGCCTGGGTGACCTTGCCTAGCCTTGGGCTTTCAAAGCCTCTCTTACACACTGATGACACAAATTCACATCTTCAGCCAGGACCTCTTCCCCAAACCCCAGACCTACAGCATGTCAACTTCCATTACTAACATGCAATTCAAGCATCACAGGTCCAAGCGGTACCCTCTGTCAGTCCTTCCAAAACAGCTCCTCCTGCTTGCTGCCCTGCTTGGTGAGTGGCAATTGCACTGTTCCACTGCTCAGATCCAAAACTTCGCTGTCATCTTTAACTCTTCTCCTTTTCTCCTGCCCACTGTACAGCAAATCCTATCAGTTATCCATTCAAACTCCAACTGTTTCTCACCACCTTCGCTGGCACTATCCTGGTCCCTACTAGAATGAGCTTCCTCTGGATTACAGTATGGGCTTCCTGGCCAGATAACCTGCTTTTGTCCTTGACTCCCAAATGTTCACGAAGACAGCTGGAGCAGACAAACCAAGAGAATCATGTCACCCTTTTCAAAACTGCATTGGCACCCATTTCACCAAGG